CATCAAGAGGAACACGGTGGACCCGGTCTACAACGAAACGCTGAAGGTGAGGGTTTATAAGTGTTGACCTTCTCCTGTTGACTTAATGGCACTCCCTGATTAGTGACCTTGTGCCTTGCAGGCTGCAACTAATGACCACACCTACAGAGACTTTAAGATTGATATTGACATTGCAGATTAGAATAGCTGTTGTCAAATATTGATTTTGGTACAATGTAGAATAAATACAGTAGCAAACAATGCTTCCGAAAGGAAAGCTGGATAAAACCATTCGTAGTATTATTCATCTGTAATTTAGGATTTGCTCATTAAAGAGAGTGAAGGGAAATATTAGGAAGATTTCAGATGCAACTTCTGATCAAATCTGAATTCATTTTTGATTAATTCATGTCCCATGTTTTATTTAGAACTCCCTTCAGCACCAGAGCACTAAAATAAAATAGGTTTTTAAAATGAAGATCAGCTTTTGATTCGTTCTTCTCCCACTGTCAGTACTCCATCAGCCGCTCTCAGCTGTTCACCCGCTCCATGTTGATATCCGTCTGGCATCACGGACGCCTGAGCCGCAACGCCTTCCTGGGAGAGGTGGAGATCCCTCTGGACAACCGAGACCTCGACTCCCCGCACGAGGAGAACATGGCTCTCATGGCGAAGGTAGATCAGAGACACTGGATGTAGAACTGTTATGAATTCTTAAGATGGCAACCTTTATTGAATTATGTAAATCTCCAGTGTCCAAACAATGTGAGAAATACCTTTCCTTCCAAAGGCTAATTTTGAAACATTGCATTGCTTCCTGTAGACTGTACGTTAGTAAACATGGATGTAATCGTACTAAAGAGCCGCCTTAAAGACGTTAAAATGTCCAAGTATACTTCTTGTGTTGGATGTCGTTTTATGCATTCGTATCTATTAATCCGTAATGTGCGTTACACAGTGTAAAGAAATTTAAATATTTTTGTGTGGTACTTTCTTGTAAATCTAGTTTCTGTTTAAATTCAGTATTTTTTACACTTAGTATTTATCCTGTGGTCTACAAACCTGTTAAACTTTTCCTTTTTCATAAAAAATCTGCACTTTTGTCTAGAAGAAAAAAAAAACTAATTGTTTCTATATACTCACTGGTGACCTGTAGATCAGAGGAAGAGTGGGAAACCTTCTGCAGGAATGTGAAACACGTCACCTCTGTGCACGTGCACTAGATCAAACAAAAAAAGGAGCTACGAATATAATATTCCTCTATAGCACTGTGAGACTGACCGTTGAGCGGCCCGACCAGGCAAGGAGGCAGAGGCAGAGAGTTCAAATATAACCCGGTGTGGGCATTTATTAAATCACAGACACATGATTCAAAGACTCAATATTGCTGCCCACGTGCACACAGTCACCAGCAACAAGGATCTCACACACACTACCTGTCCACTGACAGGGAAAACAGAGCCTAAATACACACACACTAATCAGGCCAATAAGACACAGGTGGGGGGGGAGGAGACAACACAGGACACCTGGTGAACCCAATCACCAGCCACAGACAAAACAGGAGGGAGAACACTTTCAAACTAAACCACATGTGCAATATTACAAGGCCCGAAGCCGTCAGTCCACAGTGATGAAGTTACCTTCGTCACAAGCACTACTGGAGGTTAAAACTGCAGTTCAAGTTTTAAATATCAATTAGAGCAAAGCAAGTTGCAGATTGGCTGTGAGAAGCAGAGCCTCACCTGTTTACTTATTCATCCCGAAGGAACATGTTGTGCCAGAGTTACACAAATACAACAAACACAGCAGTATGTAAACATGTTTTGCAAAAATACTAAGACTGTGTTTGAGATCATTTGGAAAGTGAGAGTCTATTATTTATTTCATCAAGCTGCAGAGTATTTACCTTGAACAGAAGAGGGGGGATTGCTGTCTAAGTGTTTATCAGCTGATATATTGTTAATGTGTTTGTTTTATTCTACCATTAAACATTGTCATCAGCCTCTGCCACCAGTGTGACATGAGGCCTCCATGTTTGCTGTACTGTTACTTAGGCTTCTTGTGTCCTGACTATACAACCTACTTTCCAACAGTCAGCCTCTGTTGCACCAGCTTCAGCTTTTGCTCAGTACAAAGGAGAGCTGGTGATCTCCTTGAAGTATGTCACACCTAAAAAGCCAACCTCTGGGAAAAAAGGTACGACGATGATAAGAAGCTCTGGCTGAGTTTGATTCACTCAGACACACTCTTAAGTTAAGTCAATCTTCTCCTCAGGCAAAAAGACAGAGGTCGGGGGGAAGTGGAGAGCTGCATGTCCTTATCAAAGAGGCAAATAACTTGATGGCAATGAAGCCAGGAGGCACCTCCGATAGCTTCGTAAAAGGGTAAGTGATCAACTTTCCAGTCTTAAAATGACATTTTGCATTCACATAAAAGCATCTTCTCTGTTCAAGACTCACTCTCTTTTTGTGGTCCTGCAGTTATTTGTTCCCAACGAAGACAAAGAAGAAGACTCCGGTGGTGAAGAAGAACCTGAACCCCAGCTACGACCACACGTTTGTGTACAAGGATGTGGCTCTGGAGCAGCTGCAGGAGATGTGTCTGGAGCTCACAGTGTGGGACAGGGAGGCCATGGGGAGCAACGAGTTCCTGGGAGGACTCCGCCTCAGCTCGGGAACAGGTCAAATATACAATTCATTCAATATAAATACAAGTTTTAATTTTTTTTATATATTTGTCTTATATCTTCTTTTGTGTGTCATTTAAACAATTGCTCTTTGTTAATGGCACCAAAGCTGTTAGTGGTCTAGATTTAGGAATCTACTCTTTTATCTATCTATTTTGTGACTCCTCGTCTCCTCTCTCCTTAAACCTCCTGCCTGTGACCCGGAAAGAGTGAGCTATGAGAGCTATTAGCGAGGATGCACAGGACCCTCTCAAAGGTTTTTTGGGTATTTTAATTAAAAATAAATGTATAAGGTGTCATGAACAGGTGTCGGATACAAGCGGCCGAGATGGGTTTTCTCCGCAGGGTGGCTGGTGTCTCCCTTAGGGATAAGGTGAGAAGTTCGGTCATCAGGGAGGGACTCGGAGTTGAGCCGCTCCTCCTTCGCGTCGAAAGGAGCCAGTTGAGGTGGTTCGGGCACCTAGTTAGGATGCCACCTGGGCGCCTCCCTAGGGAGGTGTTCCAGGCACGTCCAGCTGGGAAGAGACCAAGGGGTAGACCTAGGACCAGGTGGAGGGATTATATCTCTTCGCTGGCCTGGGAGCGCCTTGGGATCCCCCAGTCAGAGCTGGTTGATGTCGCCAGGGAAAAGAAAGTTTGGGGCTCTCTGCTGGAACTGCTACCCCCGCGACCCGACCACGGATAAGCGGAAGAAGATGGATGGATGGATGGTGTCATGAACAGGAAAATCATAACATACAGCACTAGGCTAATACATAACAATGAACACTTAATGTTTTACTTGACTGCCTTTAAATGGCAGCTCAGAGGCACAGATGTCTCATTTGGTTAAACGCCTGTTTCCTCCGCTCCCTTCCCTTGCGTCTCTTCCTTGCCTCCTCCTCACTTCTCAGGTTGGAGGGACTAAGACGAGAGGAGAGGAATCAAGAATGAAAAAAAAATGTGTAATTGTTTGGTTTAGGTACCCTCTTTTACTCCTACCCCCTTCCTTAATAACTTGCGTGAAGGAAAATTAAATGAATCCTCATATCAAATAGAAAGTCATACTATATCTACTCTTCTAATAGGTTTTATTGTCAAATAATAATAACCTTTTTGACAAAGAGACACTTAATTGCAGGATTACTTCTAAAGCTTCTATGTGGGAAAATTCAGTGTGAAAAAGGAATTTGCCATTATTAATTTAAAAAAGACTCATTTTTGCCACCCGTAAATCTCATGATTGCCATCATGTAATCTTCCCTCCTGCAGGCACAGTGAAAATTGGAAAAGCAGAAGTGGAAATGGACTCTTTGGGAGAGGAAGTGAGTCTGTGGGAGAAGATGATGAAGTACCCCGACTCGTGGGCAGAGGGCACTCTTCCCCTGCGCTCCACCATGGTGAAGGGCAAATGAGGACAGCACCAAAAGAGACTGAAATGTAAAAAGCTGCGAGGTCTGAGACGTATGAGATTATGGATTTTTTTTATATTTTGCAAGTTTGTCAGCGCAGAGGCGTCTCCTGAAGTGACTAACACACACTTCCTGCTGAACATCTGCCTCCCTGTGGGGTTCGTGTTTAGCTCCGCCCCTTGACTGCAGACTGGTGTAACTTCAGAAAATGTGCCAAAACATCACAAACTCTGGGTTCATTTTAAGAGCAAGGACACATTTTATATATTTTTTTAAAATTTAGAATGCATATTTACTGCATTTCAAATTCACGCACACTTTTGAGCATTTAGCACAGAACTAGTATCACCTTTTTTCTTAATAATTGTGTACATAATTATACTGACGCGTGGGAAAACAAGTCATTATCAACTACAAAATCTCTGGTGTTGCATCCAACAAATTGTATTATTATCTTTATAAGTTGCACAAAAATCTTTATTTGAAATTATTAAATGTCTTTATTTGCAGAAATAAAAGATAGATATTAATATGTTAACTGTATGTGATCAGAGTTGTGTTTACCTCAAGGTTTCCAATAATATTCTGTTCATCTAATAAAAATTGTTAAAAACCAAAAGACATGCTTAATAGTCCATACCAGCTGGATTTAAATAACCTGTCCACGTTAGTTTAATAGGCTTTTTAAGATGTGTGTGTTTACAGTTCTCTTTCAATTTCACATCAGAACAGGTGGTACTTTACAAACATACTAAACCAAATCACATATCTCACCTAAATATATGTTTCTATTTTATTTAAATGTGCTTTTCTCGAGCTTGTCTGTATCTTCTGTCTCCACTTGCTTGCCTCTGTGCCTTTCAGATGATTAGAGAGAGAAAACAGTGCCAGCACTTCAGTGTTGTTTGGTGATCACATCCCCCCCCCCCCCCCCCCCCCCCCCCCGCGCCGTATGTCCCTCTGGACCTGGTTTTGGGCGGTTTGTCCTTCCTCATCTTGCGTTTAGTAATGCTGATGAGTTTATCGCTGTGGCAACAGGAGAGGTTTATTTGATTAGTCGCAGAAGTCCCTGTGGAGCTCCAGCCTCTCTCGCTCCTCTTCCTCCAGCAGGAAGCTGTCGATGTACGAGAACAGCTCGTCCGACGCCATCGGGTAGATGAAGCGCTCCCGGTCCATTCCCAGCTCGTCCAGCAGCAACATGCTGAAGTACGACCTGGAGATCCTGAACGATAGTCTGCAGGAGACAAGTAGATTATTAAAACCCTTTTATCTAGGAGAGCCCAGGATTATTTTGACCTTCTATTTAAACTGTACATAACCCACATCAGTACTGAGCAAGAAATATGAGATCTTACTTTGTTGATTCAACCAAAATATTCCAAACTTACAACTATAGGTGGAGAGTATTGTTTCCCTTGTTATTGAAGTGGCTAAATAGGTGCTGCACGGTTAAACATCATCAATGTTGTGCAAATGAAATATTTGTTTTTCTTTTTTAAAGAACGGGACAAATATTTTGCTAAAAGTTGGATTCATGTTACTGTAAATCCTTATTTTAATATTTAAGCAATAATTTGGCCGACCCCTTGCAGTAACTATGAGGACCCCCTGTAAAAGACCCACGATATACATGATGTAAGACTAAAGCTTATTGATACTTGATAGTATTTTTAACAGTTGCTGCCTTTTAAAACTGAAATAAAAAGGTACAAAGTAACAATACAATTACAATAAAAACTCACTCTTATAAGTGATTATTATGACAGAAACACTTACTGTAGCTGAACCTTTATAGTTAAAAATAATGTGATATTTTAAGGCATGGTAAACAGTGAAATCAGAACTGTATTTCTGTCCTTTTTTCTACCTTTAGTGATAGCTCACATTTCCCAGAGTGCTTTGCATTACACTCAAAGAATGTGCCTTTAATACGCTGCTCTCACTCCGCTGTGTGTCAGAGAGACTGAAGAGATTTTCCAGTCTGGAAAAAGTGAGCAGCAGTGCCCCCAACTCAAATTACACAGTTGGTGGAAAAATCTATATCTCTGGCTCTTCTAAGGTGAACTAGTGCCTGCATGTTGGAGCCTGCTGCAAAATAATGTCTAACTCGCAGATCCTCATGAAAACTATAGCGAGATGGTCCTGTTTACCATTGATCATCATTACTCAGTGTTGTCAACATCCCATTACGGCTACCCTGGTGTTATTATCTGGCCATTTTAAACAGTGCTGATCCTTAAAGTGGATTTTTTCCCCCATACAGAATCCCTTTTATTAGGAGGATCCTGACATTTAAATTGAGTAATAAGATACACCTTCTTAAAGTTAATGCAAATGGAAGTTATTTCCATTTCAGCTAAATAAACACTTTTCCCCATGACCAATCAAACGGCTGAATAACTAAGCAGTAAGTAGTCTCACTGTTACCTCAGACCCTCGATGGCTTCAGAGCTGAGCAGACTTTCTTTAATGCGACCGGTCTCACGAGGCGGGGAGCCCAGGAGCTCGATGACGGTAACACGTCTCAGGTCTAATCCACAGTCTGCTTTCTGTTTGAAACAAGAAAAAATGTTTGAGTTATTTTGTTTAAATGTCCTTATTAAGACCAGCAGCCACACATTTGCTCACCTGTATCATGATGTTCTGCAGCTGGTAGTCTGGGTCAGTTATGTTTGGACCAGACATGATCAGCAGCCTCCTCTTTTCATAAAACTGTTCCAGGAGAGCGGAGACAGTCTTTACATCTGATTTAATCTCCATTGCTGCAAACACACAAGTCACAAATGCATCATGCACCTTCTTCTATATCCTATTATGTTTTTGCCGCAAAACTGATATGCAACTTTAATGCGGACTCACGAACACACTCAGCCGGCTCTCCCGCCCAGTTGCGGTCGAACAGGCAGACACGAGAAGAGACGCCCCTCCTCTCATATCCCCCTTCACAGTGATATTCACATGTTGCACCGTAGTTATTCCCATCAGAGGAGCAGGTGAGGAAGCCTTGCAGAGGTGGAGGTAGAGTTGGACATCTTCTCACTATAGGGAGGACAAAGTGGAAATAAGAAATCAAACGTGTCATCCAGGTATAATGTTCTCTTTTTATTACCGAACATGCCTATTGGGCCAAGGCTCAGGGGTCTCAAGGATCAGGGTCCCCCAAGAGTCTTCCTACAATATGATACATAAAGGGACACATCCCAACTACATAGAGACTCAATATGTCCATAATGAAACATTAAACAACTATCAAGAGATGTAAAACAGCTGTAACGAGACATGAAACCGCAGAGAGACTCAAAAGGACAATTAAGAGACACAGAGCAACCACAAAGACACGCAACACGACTACTAACTGATGCTAAATTACCGCAGACACAAAAAAAGACAGAACAGCTACAAAGAAACAATATAAAAATTCTGCAAAACTATCACAAAGACAAGAAAAATGGACACAAAGACTGACAAAATTACCACAAAAAGATACAAAAAACAACTACAAAGACACACAAAAGCACAATAGAAAGAGGCTAAACATTGATAAAGTCAAATGAAGTGTGACTTGCTCCTATAAAGAAGATGTTGAGGGGCCTTCTGCATGTCTGTGACCAGGGGAACATTGTCTCATTGTGTGTCTAGTTTATATTTAAACTCACTATAAGTCAACTCACCCTCAACACGTACAATAAACTTGCAGGCGGCTCTGTTCCTGGCTTGATCGTACACTTTGTATCGGATAATGCTCGCTCCCTCTTTAAAGTCGGTGCGCGGCCCCTGGCCAACAAGAATCACACTGCAGAGAGACGGAGGAGAGTTTAATCCATTATAAATAGGAACAGGAAAGGGAGGCAAAGGAAAGGAGCAACATACTCAAGGGATTTATCAGCAGTATCTGTTGCTTTGGGCGGGTCCCAGGTCACCATGGCAGTGAGTTTTCCAGGCTCGGCAACCTTGAGTCTGGACGGAGGACATTTGATCTTTGGAGGGTCAGTATCTGGAATAAACAATAGGGAAATTACAGCATTTACATTTTGCCAGAAAGGAAATCCCCCCTAACTGTAAGAGTCTGATAGAGCGGAATATGAAACCTCAAAGACAGCAGAACGCAGCTCTGGATTCAGAACAGAGAACAGAGGAAATGTGCGTGTTGTGTGACTGCTAAACACACACGCACTGGATTGTGAAAGAATAATAAAAAGGAGACCAGTGGTGGAAGAAGTATTCAGATACTAAAGTAAAAGAGCTGATACCATACTTTAAGAATAGTCTTTATTCATGTAAAAGTCATGCATTGAAGATGTTATTCAAGTATGTAGGTACAATTAAAAAATATATATAATACACTATTAATAGCAAACTTACTCAAGGCAGAAAAATGTCCCCTTGAGTGTTATACTATCATATATTTTACCATTAGATTATTATTACTCATGCAGTAATATAAAAGCCAGATTGTACTTGGTGGAGCTCATTTTTTAGCTTTATTAGAAATTATTCTGCTGATTTTTTTCTCCATTACTTGATTGATTAAGTCTGTTAGGTGAAAAATGCCCTAACAAGCACCAATACCTCAAACTTCCCAAAGTGACACCTTAAAAGTGTACATAATAAAAACAAATCTAAATCCAGAACATATTCACTTAAAAATAATAATCAAACGATTTTTCTAGAAAACAGAATGAAAAAAAAAAAAAAAACCTCAAGTACAAATACCTCAAATCATACTTAATTTCTACTCGTATGTACTTTGATACATTACATTCCACCTCTGATAGCAACACAGATGGCCTTAATTAAGCTCCATGTGATGGCAGTAAGTTAAACCTCTTGCTGACGGTTCAGTTAAGAATTTTGAGTTCACACATCCGGTTATATTTACATGTAGATAGAAAGACCTCCATGATGTACCTTCACAATTTGGCTGGCCTCCACTCCACGACCCCCGGCGCTCACAGGTGCGGGAGTGTTGCTCCTCGATGCGATAGCCCGCGTCGCAGGTGAAGTCACACCTGGAGTCCACCATGAAGCCGTGGGAGCAGGTGTACCTGCCGTGGGGGATTAGGGGCAGCACATGGCATCGCATCTCTGAAGGGGAATCAATGCACATACAGTATGTTGAGTGTATAAGGGTAAAAAAAGAACAGAATCGAAATGTATCTTAAATAATGAGGCTGGCAGGGGTGAACAAGTCACTGTTTTGCAAGTCATGAGTCATATGACCATTCCTAAACTTTGGGTTTTAGGTTTCAAACAATTCAGTATGCCTTTTTCACCAAGAGATTTACCCTCATGTTTATACATGTTTTGGTTTCCCACAAAAATATCTTTGGTATTTTTCCAATTGGCACTTACGTTTGTTTTTAAAGGGAAATAAATGTCCAAAGACAGCTGATTATTATCTTTAGCACATTTCAATCAAACAGAAGTTAATAGTACATTTTCTTGGGACAATTTTTAGCAGTGGATTAATACGAATTATGTGCATTAGGAATATCTTTACTGCAGCAGGATGGTGTATAGTCGCAGAATAAAATACAGTGCCCATGTTTGTGGTAATCAGGGAATATGTCAATCAGTGCAATAGATTGTATTTAATTGAATGTAGAATACCATCAGATTCATACTCATATAAGAATGTAAAGTCTATACTCCCACATACTGCGGCAGAAGGAGGTCCCAGACCAGCGCCGGCTGGGGAGGCACGTGATAGAGCCCTTCCCTATCAGTCTGTATCCTCGGTCGCAGCTCATCTCACAACGAGTGCCCAGCGTGCTCCTGTAGGCCCGCCCCTGGGGGGAGTGGCAGGTCACCTCTCCGTTAGTGAGGCCCGGGGAATGACACCAGTGAGGGTCTGTGTATAAAGAGAAAACAAATCCAAACCAGATTGTGTTAAGCACTTATAGTTGAGGTTACTAAAGTTCAATCTGTGGTTGGCAATTGTGTCTATAATGGGGGTCGGATATTCTATACATTTATCTCTTATTCCTCACAAAATTGTATTATTTTACTTTTACAATAGAAATATCTGCATGTGTACATATTGAAAAAAATTATATCTTGCTCAAGGAATGCTTCATTCTCAAAATAAATATTTGTATATTAATTATTAATCCAATGTTACCTTTAATTCTTGAGGAAAATTGAGAAAGTTCTTCATGAATTGAAGTTAATTGAGGCCACGTTTAGCATTGGCCCAACTCTAACACAATTATGGCAGTCTTGTGTTTTCAGTCATTTGCTCACAGCTTCCCAAACTCATGCATTTCCATTGAAATCTTCAGAAATCAATCAATGTTTATTTATATAGCCCAATATCACAAATGTTACATTTGTCTCAGTGGTCTTCACAGTTTGTACAGAATATCAGTATGACAATACGACACCCTCTGTCCTTAGACCCTCACATCGTACAAGGAAACATTTCCGGAGAAAACCCACAGTTTAAAGGGAAACATGGGAGAAACCTCAGGGAGAGCAACAGAGGAGGGATCCCTCTCCCAGCACGGACAGACGTGCAATAGATGCCGTATGTAAAGAAACACTTTGCCATGAACAGTCTCATACTCGTCAGAGGATTGATTATTTGGGAGTGTTTGAAAAATTAACAATTTAGCAAAAATGCATGTGTTATTATAATGTTAGTGTTGAGAGTTGTGTGAGAGTTAATGTTTGGCTATACATTTGCTGATGTTAAACGAAGCCCCAATTCACTTAAATTCATTGAGATTATTCTTCATTCTGTAATTATTTGTTGGTGATGAGGTAATACAACTTAAAGACGCTTTAATGCAAAGCTTCTTAAACTTGGATACCAGAGCAACCATGTAATGGCAAAATCAGTCATGGTCGAGAGCAGTACTGTATAGATAACACATATTGTGTTTAACACCAACCTTTGTAGTCTAGTTGAGGACCATCATCTTCTTCTACAAAGTCATTGTAGCTGTCATACTCTATGGTCCCAGAGCCAGCTGAGAAAACAAACATCAAACATCAGAATTTATGTGATTCTCATGATTATCTGCACACAATCTCTTTCACTGCTGCTCAGGTTTCCTTGAACACAAGCTCAGTAACATTCCCATCCATGGACACCTGGATTTGCAATCAGTGATGCTAACAGGAACTCCTGAGGGATTTAAACCCGAGAGCTAAAAAAACGTTTGTTAACTTTGCTGCTGTTTTCTTGAAATGACAGACATGAATGTAGGGATGTAGATATGAGTGCAGAGAAAATATGTTAGAATTAAAGATGCAGGGTATTCCTGCATTTTAAATTGACAAAACGTTCATCATAAATCTGCACAAACAGCTTTGTTTCATTACGCACTTCCCTCTTACTCATCTCTTCTCATGCAGCCGTAATCAGCCTGTGTACTTTGGCTTTCATTCTGAATTTTGTCTTTCTGCATAATGAATCAGTTTTACTGTTATCCGGTTCTCAGCAGCAATCTCGAGAAGGACTCCATGTTTACAGCTGAGCTGAGTGCCAAACTTTCCAGCCTTTAAACCTCCCCCCACCCCAAGGCATGTTCTGCTTCCTTTGCTTCACTTTAACACAACAATAACGCATCACATTACACGTTCTCTGCTCTAAAAGCGGTTTCAGATTGTTCCAGCTGTGTGTGGATAAAGCGTATCGTCAGCGTTTTCTTCTCATAAAGAGCGTGATGTTCCAGTTCTCAGTAACACTTCCCCAGACCAATATTTCCCATTTCCCCCTCACAGGGAGTTAGTCAGAAGAAAATCAAAATGCGTAGCTCACCAGTGTGCACCGCGGGGCTGAATAAGAGACATTACTGCAGGAAACATGCGTCATCCTGCTTTGGGCAATAAAATGTCTGCATTTTTAACTACAGGTAAAACCACTGCAGGGCTGAAAAGGAACCAAGCACATTAACTCAAATACTGTATAATTGAGGTACTAATACATTTCTGACCTCCTGCTAAATTATGAACCATCCAGATCTCTCAGGTCTTCAGGGACTGGTCAGCTTTCTGTCCCCAGAGTCAGAACTAAACATGGTAAAGCAGCGTTCAGTTATTATGCTCCAAATATCTGGAACCAACTCCCAGAAACCTGCAGGTCCGCTGCAACTCTGACTACTTTTAAATCCAGGCTGAAGACTTTTCTTTTTGTCGCTGCTTTTAATTGAACTATTCATATCTTAAACTGCACTGTAACTTTTATCCATGTACTTTTTTCTTTTAATGTTTAATTTATTAGCTTTTCTTTTTAATGACTGATTTTAAATGCCATTTTCTTAATCTCTTTCATTTTTTGTAAAGCACTTTGAATTGCCTTGTGTTGAAAAGTGCTATATAAATAAACTTGCCTTGCCTTGCCTTGCCTTACTAGTACTTCTCTTGACCATTTCAAACTACTTAATACTTTCTACTGTACTCCACTATTTCAGAATAAAAGTTACTGCTAGCTTTTAACATTTTAATAAATACCATGTTCAGAAGTTGTCAAGAAGAAGTCATCCTTGATACTGTAACTAAATGCATTTAGATGTAATCATAGTTGATTATTGATACTGATTTATTGTTAGCTGATTACAAAATCCCAATTATGTAAACCGTTACTACTGAAACCTCACGACAAGTGGGCATAATACAATTAAAACTAGCTGATTTTGTATTGATGCATCCATTTTTTTTAATGTCACATGGTGCACCTTGAGGAACAATTAGGACTACATTTGAGTTTGGAACACAACTTTTACTTGCGATGTTGTGTTTCTACATTGAAACATTGGTACTTTCACTAAAGTAAAGGATCCAAATACTACAAGTGATGAATACTGACACCCACGATGCACCATGCCCTGCTCACAGTGCTGAGTTCACTGCAGAGACATGCAGCTGTGCACACAGTGAGGATGAGTCACAGCAGAGGAAGGTGAGCAGTTTGACAAATGCAAGCTTCATTTGTCTCTAATGACAAAGGTGATAGCTTCCTTTTCATCACTCTGCATTAGCTTCTGAGCTTCAGGGTGAATCTCAGGTCTGCAGGATTAATGAAAGCTTCAGCCCACTTGGCCCAGAGGGGGACTCCTCAGTAATTAGCTTGCAGTGATTGGAGCCGAGCTGTAATTAAACTTGGTCAGCAAAGCAGAGGGGCTCCTGCAGAGGGAGCCAGCTCAACTACAAGTTCATTTAGACTGCTGCACTCTTTCAGATCCTCATTCCTGAAGAGAGGAGTGGGCTCCATCTGCATTCAGACTGTCGCCTTAGAAACGCACCACATCTGCATCTAATACAGTTGTTTTTGCGGCTGATATAAAGGCATTTCCCTCCTTCAGGGGATTGGAAGTTTGAGTGAAACGAGAAAGCTTTAACGATATTAAACTTTTAGTGAAAACTAACAAAGAGTATGTGTGCAGCTATTGTCTGGCTTAAATTAAATAGACGAATATGTTATTCTAAATTCACAATTGTGTAACCTTTGTACAGTTTTGGACAAAGTATTCAGATTCTTGAATTTAAGTGAACTTAAACTAATATCCACTGTAGTGGAAGTCCTGCATTCAAAATCTTGCTTAAAAGCAGGTAGCCTACGTTTAATTAGCAACATTTACATTAAAAAAAATATAGGTTCTTGTTCAGTAAAATGATTCCTGATATTGTTTTACTATTATAGATGTGTTTGGATTATTTAAGGTTTGGCTAATTTGTACTTGTTTATATAGCCTACTGTTTAGGAAGTGGATGGAAAATTGTAATCTGCAATGTAACAAAATCTGTCAAACTAATGTAGAGATGTTGTTATAAAAAAAAATCTGAGGTAAAAAGTATAAAAAAATGAAATTACGAAAAGTAGCTACAAGTAAACTATCCCAAAGTTGAAGGCTACTAAAGGTCTGCTAAATACATGTCAACACTTTCTTTATTGTTCCGACTCACCTGTGACGTATAAACTGAACACAGCAACAAAGCGGAGGAGCATGTCAGAAACACAAAGATCACACTTCTGGGGGAAAAACTAGAAATTACGGTTGGATCAGATCCGAGGGTCCAACAGAAAAGATAAAAAGTTATAATCCAGAGAAAGTTTTCTATAAACATACGATTAAAAATAACTTTACTAAAAATCCACAGCTGAGGAGAATGAAGAGCTCCGCGGTCACATTCGCCGCAGATTTGTAAAAGGATCTTTTTACTTCATCATCAAAGTTGGACACCACTTGGTGGCGCTTTTGGGCATTTATTTGTGTATGTTCCTCCCACTACTGCATTAAACATGATCATTATTAGCCATTTTATAAACCCTCACCCAGAACCGTCTTCTCCAATCTTAATTATTATAACTGATAGTGGGATCAATGCCTTCAATGGTGATTTATATATAATATCTACATGTATATTTTCTATTTCAACATGTATATTTTCTATTTTATTTTATTTCTATTCTTGTTTATTTGTATTGTAAAATGCCTTGTCTTTTATGCTGCTGCAACAAAAACAATTTCCCAAATTGGGATCAATAAAGCACCATCTTATCTTATCTTATAGATATATCTGTTTCCTCTCATTCTGAAACTCATGGTCTTATCCTCAGTCATTCCTTATGGGAACTCTGATTGTTTAAAATGATACTCTATGATTTCCTTTATTTATATCACTTTTCAAAAACAAGTAGGCCACAAAGTGCTTTAAATATGTATAAAATACCCACTGCACTTAAAAAATACACATCAGGTTTGTTATGATATTTCTATTGTCGATGTACGATTAAGCAATAGCTCACGACAGGCCGTGGTATATGCTCATTATATCACAGCTAAGGGGCGTGGTTCGGCCCGACGCGAAGCGTCAACGGTATACTGTTTTTCTCAGGCGCGGAGGGATACTGACTTGTTGTGAAAAGTAATTTACAATTCTACCCGTGGTATACGCTCAGTATATCACGACTAAGAACCAATCAGATTGCTTGATTTAACTTGTCCGTTTTATAATTTATGATAATATGTTTTATAAGTGTCATCACATGTATTTTATAATAATAATAATAAATTATAATACATTTAATAATAATACATGTAATACTAATAATACATTTTATTTGTATAGCACACTTTAAAAACAACGTCATCTCAAAGTGCTTCACAATTCAATGAGAGTAGAGTTAAAAAATTAACCAAGAACTAGTTAGACAGTCCCACAAGAAGCTTAAAAGATACGATGAGCCTTATATCAATGAAATTAATCTACATGTTTTTATTTTATGAGCGTCGATGTGAAACTTGTATTTACTCAGCTGATACAAGAGGGAAAAAAGCATGTTAAAAAACAAGTTAGACAGCACGAGGCCGGAAGTAGTTCTGCTTTCAACAAAAATAAAAGCACACATTAAAACGAGTTTACACTTGGCTGCATGGTAACTGGACTTTAACACATTAAACCAAATCTAATAAGGCTTATAACTGATTATTAGATATATCATGAGTAGCTTTTAAAACCTTTTATCGGGTTGAAAGTTGTGTCTGTTCTTTTTTTCCTTTCAGAAATAGTGTTTGAGATGTGTTTCAGCAGCCCTGCATGCAAATGTAGGCTATATTAACACTCAAAGACCAATAGGCCTATAGGAATAAATAGTCAGATGTTAAAATATGACACTGTTGGATAGATAGTGAAAGATTATTTAACAAAGAATCTAAAAGAAAAAAATAGTACATTTATGAATTATAAGACCAAGCTATATATAAACACATATTCATATGAATAAACTACTTGCAATTTATAATGTTTTTGATAGATAGATAGATTTATGAAGATGCATCATTTGTAATTTAATGCTTTACTTGTGAGTTTGAATGCTAGTCCTTCATTTTAACAACGTCGTAGTGCTGTTTTTGCAAAAGATCTAAGTGCTTTTTCCACTAGGCTACTCCAGTGTGTGTTTAAAATAGCCATAATGCAGTAGTGTTTTTAAGCTATTGTTTAATTTGTAAACCTGTTTTTTCGCGTTTTATTTTGAAAGCTGCACTTGAGACTGATCTGTCGATGAATATGAATATCACTGCTGACTTTACTGTGAATAGTTTAAAGCTGTTTTTCCTTCAGGAAAGTGAATCTGAGTTAGTGACGACACTTCCCCCTCTCCTCGGATTTATCCTTGAAGGTTTTTTCTCCCCCTCTCCCCTGTAGGTCGCTGTGAAGTCAACTTTTCTCTCCTTTTTACCAGTTTTAAAGTAAAAACTGCACCATGTCGCCGCCGTCTCGAAGGCTTCAGACGAAGCCGGTGATCACCTGCCTGAAGACCTTCCTCATCTCATACAGCCTCATTTTCTGGGTGAGCAGCTGCTGCATGTAATGGGGGCCAAGGAGCTAAAGGAGCAACAATGGGCTAAGAGCCGCGGCCGAGGTGCCAACAAGGCGAACTAACTCCACTCCTTCACGACAGGAACACACAAACACACATGGAGTTCAATAAGTTGTGGAGGCTACATGTCGTTAAAGTTCAAGTGGAGCAGGTTTATGTTGATTTAAAGAACCACTTGTTGGAAACGTAGCGACCGTTGTTTTGTTCAGATACCAACTGTCTGAAAACAGCCCTTAGCTCTGTATTCTGATTTATTTCTGGTTTTACCTCAAATAATGTTTTTAGCTACATTTTAACTTGGCTGAGAGTGATATTTTATAAGTTAAAGGTAATATGTTTTCACTGTAGGCTATCATTGATGGTGTTCTGCATTCCAACTTAATTATAGGCTACGTTAAAGTGCAACGTTTGTCTAACAGAAAATGTTTAGGAGTTAAACCTCAGTCAACATTTGTTTCCACTCACACCGTTTTCTGTAAATAGCTACATTTAAAGCTGAAACTAACAATACGTGTCACTATTTTATCAGTTTGTTTCTCAATGGGCCTATTTGAGACAGAAAAAGTCTAAAACAATCCAAGATTCTTGTTTACTATCATGAAAGTAGAAGGTAACCCTAAAATGTTCTGGTAAAATATACACATTTGAGATGCTGGAACATTATAACTGCATGTTTGCTTTTTTTAAATAATCAAAATTGTTGTTGATTAATTTGTTTCTGTGGATCTAATTGTTGTAGTCTATGGTGGGACAGACAATGTCATTTGGTACTGATTTTAAGGTAGAACAGGAAGGTCCATTGGAGTTTTAACACTTTATTTCCTTTCAAAATTAGTACACAGTTGTATAATTCTTTCCAGGATCCTTTCCAATATCCTATAGCCCAAGGTGACCTCTTCAGAGGCCTTGTTTTGCCAAGATTACAAACTCAAAGATGTTCAGATTGATTGTTGCACAAGACAAAGAAAATGTGAAAAATCCTCATATTTCAGAAGCAAATACAAGATCATTACATGTTCTACTTATCAACTTGTTAGTTAACAGACTAAACATGCATGCAGCCATGTAATGCTTTTCTTTGTCAATTTAGTCATCTAATCTTACTTTATACTAATCCTATTAATAAAAAAAGATTCATCATGATAATATTTGGTAGAATAGTCAATAATGAAAATCAATGCTAGCTTCAGCCATAATTACATGTAAGAAAAGCCTAAACACTAGCTTGTCTTGAGAAGAAAATGAGCAGTTATCGTTGCTCCTCCCTTTTAATCTTTGTACCGAGCAAACAGCCATCTCAGGCTGCTGCAAAGTTCAGGTCAATGCTTTTATCTGAAAATGTATTGCTCTTGGCTCAATGCACTGATGCCTCCCTTCAGGCTAATGACTCGTGTGGGCAGTCGTAAAGGAAAGAGATGCTGAGATTATTCAACCTGTGGCTAGTGGGGTATCCCAGGTGTGGTTTTACTAAAATATTGTCAGGTAAATACACATCTGCAGCCTCTGTCCTGAGATTGTGAACAATATTCGAGGTTATATGTTTTCTCTGGATACACATTGAGTGTCAGAGCTCCAGCATCCTCTTCTAACTCCAACCGTTATCTGCAGTGTGTCCACTGCAAACTGATGAAATCAATCAATGAAGGAAACTGAGTTGTTATGGATTCAGCCCATCATGGTTCCTAATTAAAAGTGTCCCTGATATTGGCCAAACGTGGTACAGATCACTCGTCTATCTGCATGATCACTGTTTGGTAACAGAAAAACTCAATATTTGTACGTCAGAGCGTTTTCACTGGTTTTTAAATAGGAAGAGATAACTGTAATGATTGATGGGTCTTGATTAGTTTATTTGATTGTTTGGTTTATAAAATGTCTATGTCAAATGGCCATCAAAATGTCCATATAAGAGTTTCAAATCCTCACATTTAAAAACTGGAAACCTGTTCATGTTTTGACTTTTGTGCATGACAGGGTAAGGGTAGGGCTGCTCAATTAATCGTATTTTAATCGCGATTACGATTACGGCTTGCAACGATTACGAAAACAACGTAATCGAAATAAAATGATTATTTTTTTATTATTATTACTTTTTTTTCTTTCGTTGAATTCTACTTAAAGTTCAGGGTAATCAACTGTTAAAAACATACTGTTCATATTTTTTTCTCTCCAATAAATGGATGTTTTCAAAGTCAATGAATAATTGCATTTAATAATCGCAATTACAATTATTGACCCAAATAATCGAGATTATGATTTTTGCCGTAATCGAGCAGCCCTAGGTAGGGTCTAGATTTGGTTATTCATTTTCCTTTTTAGAAAATGTAGGATAACTGATAACTGGTTTTATTTTGGAACCAGTCTCAAATGTGTACAAATATGTCTAGATCTCTTACGTATCGAGCTGATCAAATCTTTTATCCTTCCCATTTTTGTTTTAGGTAAAACCTTTTCAAAAACAGTTTAAACAATTAAAAGTTATTCAAAGGGTTTGATTAAATGCTACTGAACTCTTACATGTACCAGTGTGGTTTCAAGCCTTTAATGTCAGGTTTTGGCCATAAAAGCCTGCTCATCCTTCTTGTTGGCTCTTCTCTGCCGGAACTGACTCCCTGCTGTCGCCTTCAGTTCACAGGCGTGATCCTGCTGGCGGTCGGCGTGTGGGGGAAGGTGAGCCTGGAGGCCTACTTCACTCTGGCCTCGGAGGAGAGCACCAATGCACCATATGTCCTCATCGGGACCGGAGCCATCATCGTTATTTTCGGACTGTTCGGCTGCTTCGCTACATGCCGCGGCAGCCCATGGATGCTCAAACTTGTGGGTGAAGGCGCAGTAAATTCACTGAAATATTCCCTTCAGATGTGACCCTGCTTAATTTTCCTTTTATTGCTCCCTTCAGTATGCCATGTTTCTGACCTTGGTGTTCCTGGCTGAGCTTGTGGCCGGTGTCTCTGGATTTATCTTCCGACACGAGGTCAGTTACCGTCAGAAACATTACCTTTCTTGTAAAGAAAATGAAATCACATCAGCTCACCGAAATATATAACCTTTGTTTTGTGTTGAACAGATCAAGGCCAAGTTAGGTGTTGCCTATGACAACGCTGTGACAAACTACAACAGCACCGACGGCAGCAGCAGCAGCGGTGCAGTCGACGTCATCCAGAGGACTGTGAGTGGGAGGGTGCTACCTTTATCTGACTCACTGTACTAAACAAATAACTCTTGTTTATATGACAACATTTCACATGGGAAACTAAGCATTAAACCAACAGAGAAGTGCTGATCTGTAGGTTTAGACTTTCGAGCATGTTACTTGAGTCGCTGCAGATGTTTTCCCAATGGATGGATGACGTGTTTTTGTGAGCTAGCTTGCCCTGCCTTCGTCGACAAAAAGCCATTGGGATTTTTCCTACTGATTTTGGATGAAAATAGACTTTGTTGCAGCTAATGTTCATGTTTCTGTTGAGAAAGATACTGTTTACTAATGAACACTTCTTTTTAGGATTGTTATAGTGTTCATTCAATCGCCAGAAGTAAATAGCATCTTGTTATTTCTAATTAGATTTTGCATGCTTTTTTTGCGTTACCTAATCTAGCAAGTGGTCATGGCTCAATTGTCAGTCTTACATCCTTCTTCCAAAAAGATCAAAAAAGTATAAATAACCTAACAAGGCTGTAAGGGCTGACTGAGTAGTTGTGTATAATGTCCTCCAGGCTACTCTCTAGGCTTAAGTCACTTGTTAGCAACAGCCTTTTTTAAGATAGGATAAGTTTCAAACATTAATTTTTGTCGTAGATCAAAACATGAACATCTCTTATGCTTGGGGTTCAGGCATTTTATAGGAAACCCTTTCAAGAAACCCATTGACTTTGAGAAGAGGTCACCTAACATACATCCATGCTTACACATTTTCTAGGTTTTAGCATTCATTCCTGTGGCACTCTTAAGGTGATCCCAAACATCTGCAGTGACATCACTAAATCATTTAATGACCAGCCAGGAAATATCCAAGTGTTTTTATTTTTTCATCATTAAAAAAAAGAGTTTGACCAACCTTTTCTGATACATCAAGACATTTGTTACATTGTTGTAATCATTTTGTTGTTGGCGATTCTCCATATAGCTGCATTGCTGCGGAGTGAACAATTACACTGACTGGAGCGAAACAGCATACTTTAAAGCCAGCGGCATCCCCGCCAGCTGCTGTAAAGACAGCGCCAACTGCTCCCCGGAGAGCCTGAAGGACCCGGACAAGGCCGGGCAGGAGGTCTACACCGTGGTGAGTTCACGGCCTTACACCACCACTACATATTTGTGTCAAGGTTTAATGGCTTTAGTTTTATTTGAAGGAACAACCACATTAATAGCTCAAATGTTTAACTGTGTTTGTAGAAAGGGTTAGAAGCCATTATGAATGTTTTCTTTCTGCTGTAGGGCTGCTTTGCGAGGGTGACCCATGTGATGGAGTCCAACCTGGGAATCATCGCTGGGATCTCTTTTGGGATTGCATTCTTCCAGGTATGTCAAATATGTACATTCTTTGTCTCAGAACAAATAAGACAGTACTGCATAAGAATTAGTTTAATTACATTTAAGGCTGTTACAAATAAGTTAAAATCATAATTATTCAAAATCAACATTTGAGTGCTGCAGAGCTTTTTCCTTTTCTTGTCTATGAATAAGCCTGGTGTTGCAGAACTGCTGCAGACAAAGATAATGCTGCACTAATTATAACACTAAATACTGTTTGTAGAAATACATTTGAGCTTTTGATGCATAAGATTTTTCCTGACTTTTGCGGTCCGAACCTTTCAAATAACTTGAGCGTTTTAAAGCCAAAATGTAAAGTTTATGATGTGTTTTTATTTTACAACCTAATTCAATTCGATCCACATTTTGTTTGCGTGAGAGTTTCACTGCAGTCTAAAACCTGTCTGCTCCGTCTCTCGCCCCACACCTGATTTAACGAGGCGGCCCAGCAGCATAATAAATCTCATTTATATAACCACAATCATTTAGATCTGGGGATGCAGTGACACGGACAGTAAAAGAGTCTAGAAGGGAAAGATTGTGAGGGATACATTTACAACACGCACAAATTAAAATGAACCTTTTGGCTAACTATCCCCATCACCTGAATGTTTATTAATGTGCACTGTCCCTGTTAATAAACCAATAAGTACAAAAACTGACAACCGGACATAATATTTGCATTAAATCCCAGTTAAATTCAGACAATGATCATATTTCGAGTCTAACAGGGGACACTTGTTGCTATTCTCTCCTATTCTCTCTCCCCCTTCATTTCCTGTCTGCTTTATACAGCATACTATCTAATAAAGTAAAAGAAAATGACCTTCTACTGCTCCCTATGGAATTTATTATTACAATTCTATTATAAAGGGATCAGTGAACAATTATTTTACAGCCTAGATGCTATGACCAAACCAACATGTTGATTATAATCGACAACCACATTCTAAAACCAAGTGCAGCAGGTCAAAGTTAATCCAGATAGTCGCTTTGCATAATCAAATATGATTTACAGCCGGTAATAATTTCCACTTTCACATTTGTTTTTACTTTAATCTTTATAGTTAATGTATAATGTTCTTTATAGCCTGTCTGAGCACTAATGTGGCTGACCTATGCTCTGCTGTATGTGCAGCTGACAGAGCGACATTATCTGCCGCTAAGTAAAAGAGTCCATTTTGTTTTGTATCACAGCAAACCTTGCCAACGCCTAAGTGGCCAAATCTGAAATGACCACACCGTGATCCATTAAGTTACTGACTGAAAATGTTCACTATGCAAAGAAAAACGTCTATAAAGAATAATTTGTCCCTGTTACCATAACATATTTGTGTCAGTAAGAACGGCCACTTTTTGAAGCCAGTCTGCAACCTCAGCACAAATCCTTACATATTTAATTATTTAACCTTAATTTATTAGTTCTCCTTTTATCTAGCTACTATTGTGATTATATGTAAATGTGTTTTAATGTGCCTGATTTAATATATTTTCACATGTAAACTAAAGGTAATGATATTCTATCTCTTCATAACTGATAGAAACTTAATTTTCCTTAAGATTAATGTCAAATTGTCGCCCACCCTCCAAACTTTAAGTCCCGCCTAAAGACCCACCTCTTTTCCCTCGCTTTCGAGTCAGTCTGAGCTGTTTTATCGATTTTTATGCTTTTATTGTCTGTCCATAGCCTTTATGTACCGTGTATTAATACTTATGTGTGCCTTTTATCCTTTTATCTTTTCTTATGTGTGCCTTTTATCTATTATTGTAATATTATATTTTATTATAATGTTATGTTTGGTGTGAAGCACTTTGGTAAACCCTCTGTTTTTATTATGTGCTATACAAATAAAGTGGATTGGAGTGTGTTAGGAGTTGTCTGTTTTGATAAATCTACATTTTCTTTTCTTTTCTTCCTCTCAGCTCATTGGGATATTCCTGTCCTGCTGCTTGTCTCGATACATAACCAACAACCAGTATGAGATGGTCTAACAGTGACCTTCCCCAGGTGAGGCTTGTTATCAGTATATGCATTATATATATATATAAAGAAAATTGGCTGATCTGGTTTTTGTTGGGAGAATAAATCATGTTCAGAATAATCTGAGCACAAATTGTGAAACTGAAGCAGTGATGAAATGATCCAATGTCCAAATGCAGATATCTGACACGTTTTCCATCTCTATTTACAGGTCACTGATGGGCAGCTCCTGATGCAAACTGAGTTAAAGAATCTCCTGTGATTTTATTATTGTGTTCGTGTTAGTTGATATTATTTTAGAGAGGGAAAAACACTCCATGCTTTTTCTTTTATTAAGCAAGAAATGAGCAGAAAGGAAATAATGTTATCTGCAGTGTAGTTTGACCAAAAAATGTAAAGGACCTTCGGAGATCATGTGTTACTCCTGAGATTTAATTAGGGATTTATATTAAGTGTAGATGTTACTTTTCTTTGAGTTAATTCATTTGACCAATTGTCAACCTTTCCACTTGTGTCTTTGTATAATGCAGCTGCCTTCTTTCTTGTATTTTTGCTAAAATATTAGTCTGTGGCTGAGCAGATGAAATCTAGACAATAAGCTGTTAAATATTCTCTGCAAAACTAAGTGAATTTCTGTGAAACCAACATGGACGATAGGTCGCCACCCTGAAAAAAAGCGAGTAAGGACTTGAGAATGAGCCTGACTAATTACGTAGCCAGTATTGTTGAAAGCTTTCATTCATATGTGCCAAGTACAGTTACCCCGCCAACTTTATATCACATATTTCAGTGTTAAGTTGTTATTCTTTGTGGATGCATGTGAAATATTTGAAAAAAATAAAGATTTAATTTAGTATCTTTAATTGTGTGTGTGCTGGTGGAGCAGCTCAGGATGTGTCTGTCCTACAGCTGTTTGCTTCTTCAATCATCAGAAGTATTCTGGCAGACAAACATCACTCAGTTATTTGGGGCCTTGTGAGGGATCCATTCACAACAAGTGTAAGCCATTTGTTTTATAATATGCAGAGTAACAGCATACTATTTTTGGATACAACACAATATGGAAGTTCAGATGCCTTGTGCAGTGCAACAGTAAGTGTTACTATTGAGTCATTTTGGTTATGAGGTTTGGTAATACATATTTTGTTCAATAAAAATGGAATGTGTGACCTATGACCTAAGAAACCCTGATGTTTATAATCTTACATTTTAAAAGGAAGAAAATGTCCCACTCAGTTGACAGAACAGTAACTTTTTAGTTATGAAGAAATAATACTAATCTAGGGCAGGATATATTCCTCAGAATCCAAACTAACATGAAGTGATCCAAAAATGTGTTCTGTTATAAATATTAAAGTTATTTCAAAACGTCCCTAGATTCCGCACAAGATATAAACTCTTTCATAAGATTAATATATAAACAAGATATTGTCCCATAACTGGAGCGGGGAGGCTGGATGATTGACTGCAACACTGACTTTGGATCTTATAAAGCACACTTGTGAGATGAATCCTTTATATGCAATGAAAGACAATCATTTGCTAATATGACGGTGTGTGTGTCAATGTTCATAAAATAAATCTCAATCAAAGTGAATTATTTAGTTGGGACCGCAAAAGAAATAACAGCAAACTTTATATAGCACTTTTCAAAACAAAGTGCTTTAGAAGACAACAAATAAACAATGGCAAGAGTGATGTAAAAAAGATCATTTGTATTGTACACTTTTTAATCTTGACCTTTTTTGTAAATTAATGGATAATTGTTGTTCTACAAGCTTCTAAAAAACTTCAAAACTGAGAAAATCTAAAATCTTTGGCTGGCTGCTCCTAAAAGGTGCTCCTGCTTGGTATAGCAGGAGAATCACAGGTGTAACTAATAACTGTAACGATGCTCTGCCACGCCCCATTAATTAACTTTATTAAATACACCTGTGTGCACATGTCATACAAGCAGATAAACCTGACAACTCAGTGTCAGTACTTATTGTTCAAGGTGGACGCTGGAGCTTTGTAACATTAACACTGTCAGGTAAGACAGGTAATGGCTTCCTTTAGAACAATTTTTGTATTAAACAATTAGTATAGATACTGTGGTCATCGGTGGATTATAACAAAATATGGGCACAGCCCCTTTTCCCTTTTGTAGTCGTGCTGTGTCTTTAGGCCTCTTACTTTTGTCTTGTTTTTTATCCCTTTTTGTAGTTGCTTTGTCTTTTAGTTTATCACTTTGAGATTATTATTATCATCTTGCATCTCTTTACATTTGCTGTGAGTCTCTCTTAGCTGTTTTGCATCTATTTGTGGTTGGTTTCTCTGTAGTTTTCTTTCCATCTCGCCATTTTAAGTCTCTTTGTGTTTGGTGCGTACACTCTGAGTGACTTCTTGTAGGTAAAGGCCAGAGTGGCCCCTCAGTTTTGGGCCCCTGGTCCTGCACCCATTAGTCCTGTTCAGTAATCCATCCACGACTGTGAATGACTGGTTACTATTGTAAAATTATGAATGGTGTCAGGGAGGTGATGAGTTTCTGTTCATTGTAAGATTTATTCAAAATCATACCACCAGGTGGCAATGTTGTGTAAAATAATACATGTAGGCAGCTGTGGAGACATTAAAAAAGCGACTAATACTATTAATTTAAACCAAAGACGGACCTTTGCATTATTTAACACACAGTAATCAAACTTCTTAATAACACACCATATCAAACATCGTGCAGGCCTGTCAAACTCACCAGTGTTGCCTTCAGGCTGTAAACGGCCTAGAAAGGATGACAAACTATAAGCTGCAGATAATTGCAGACAAACCTGTATAAATACATTTGAGTGACAGCTGTGATCTGACGACTGATTGGTCCGTTTTGGATCAGATGCTCTATAGGTCCGCCCACATCCTTCATGCTGCCCAATGGGCTCGGTAGAAAAATACAAAAAGGGCGGACTTCATTAGTTTCTTCCACCCAAAGCTGGTTGTCCGGTATAAAAACGGTCTTCCGCGGTCGGTTAGTTGAGGAAATATTTTACTTTCCTTCCCGGCGGGTGGTGTGCAAAGCCTGAGAAGACTTGGTTTGTCCTACCAGCCAAGAAACATTTTCCTCAGGTTACCTCGTGGTTCAGGTCAGTCTGCTTCCTTTCTTTATTTCGGGTTTCAGATTTTAACAACAGGAAGTCAAGGTCATATTGATGCGAGTCGGGCGTTAACAATGCGGCAAAATGAGGGTTTATCATTCATGTAGTGGTTGAAATTGTTTTAGTGTGAGCTAGACGTACATTTATTATAATCTTCTGCGGATGAGAAACGAGCCGCCCCTGTTTCATCACATTTCCTGCCTAGCTACAGTGTGTGTGTGGGGGCTGTCTGTGTGCATATGAATGTCGTGATTGGTTGCCTTTGTACCCTGAGTGTGTGAACCTGTTTCAGACTACATTAGTCTTGGATTTGGCTTTTGTTTTTGCAGCATCATTATCAAATCTTTGCACTTCCATTTATTTCCTCCATCCTAATGTTTTCTCTCATCCTCTTGCAGATCAGCCACCAAGCAGCTCTGCCTTAACATCACCACCTGCCAGCTCTACCTAAGCCAACCTAAAGCCTTCAAAATGATGCAGATCAGCGACGACCCCGCCAGCAACAAGCACTCACTCATCAACGTCATGCACCGCTTCATAGCAGCTGCCAACAACATGGACGAGACCATCATGGTGCCCAGCATGCTGCGAGACGTCCCCCTGGAAGAGCAGGAGGCCAGCAAGGTGGAGCCCAACAACAACAATCACGAACCCCCCTGTCCCAACAAGCAGAGGGACATGTACGAGCACTACCTGCTGCTCAAGTCCATAAAGAACGACATGGAGTGGGGGCTGCTGAAGAGGGAGATGAGCAGCGGCGCCAGCTTCCTGGAGATGGCGGTGAAGCAGGAGGAGCAGCAGACGGTCACCGGAGACCTCCTCGCTGACGAGAACTTAGACCTGGAGAACCAGTTTCATTATCACCTCAGAGGACTGTTTGGAGTTCTGTCCAAGCTCACAATGCAAGCCGACCACCTCACCAACAGGTACAAGAGAGAAATCGGAGGCGGAAACTTCATGAGATAGAAGTAATACGTTTTTCTCCCCTCGGACTGCTTGACTTGCACAATGGGATGTGTTGAGAAGGGCCCCCCCCCCCCCAACCCCATCTCTTCCTAATAGATCTCAATGGACAGTTCACTGACCAGGGCGACCACTTTGACTTTCTCTCACTCCTGAGTAGCGACACTCCATCTTCCCCTACCAAAACACAAGAACCAGTGACGCCGGCTCGTGTCCCTCTGCCTGTTTCAGAGGATGCACTGTGCATGGTTGAGGTTTATTGAATCGGTCTCAAAGTTCAGATGAAGCGCAGCTCTGGTTTATGCAGAAAACTTGCCATCCCCTCTTTTGTCTATTCATTTCAACATGAGTTTGTCACCAGATTGTGAATAAAAGAAGGTTCCTAATTGTAGGAGAAATTGAATGCTGGTTATTCTGTCCCTCCTTTTTAAGAAAATTATTTTAAAGCTGAGCTGAAGGGCTCTTACCTGCCGAGGTTCTAAATCTTTCCACCTGGTATTACTGCAACATGGCGTGCCTTGACTTTTTGTACACCCTCATGCCCTGTTCAGTTACCTCTCCATTATCTGACTGCTAAAATGGTTCATTATGTTCATTTGTTTGTCCTTGGATATTTCAAATTTTATATTAAATCAGTAAACCTGAAATAAATAATTGGAAACTTGATGTTTGCTTGTGTTGTCTCTGCTAACAGGAAGGGTGTTGGAGGCGTTTCTCTTTTCCTCTTTGTAGCTTCATTTAAAAAAGAAAATGTTTCTCATTGCTTAAGGCTGCACAGGAATGTATTGTGATGCATTTTGACATGCCATAACATGTCATCTACAACAGCTACTTTACTCACTGCTGCGTATGTGGGGCCCGTTTAACAGCTTTATTTAATGAAGCGTTTAACAGTTTTTCTACTTAACTAACTAGTACTTTAAGGTGACGCTCGAAAGAGGTGCTGCAAAAGAAAGAAGTGCTCTCGAGCAGAATTGTTTAATTCATTTCTGTTTCATGCAAATAGTCAGTTGTGCAATGCAAATCACCTGCAAGATCATCCTGCAGCTTGCATGTACGTTTTTAACCTAAAATGTAGATGCATTTTTAGCAACAAATGTAATCTTTGTTAGACAAATGAAAGTCATCTTAAATTAGCCCTTTGATTTCTGATAACGGAACAATACCGATTATCTTTATAAGAAATATGATATATAGAACTGCCCATTTGTCACACACATTACAAAGTGTCAAAAGGTTACAAGAGCTCAGTCAATTTGTTATAGTATCTTAATCTAATACCTTTAGCATTTACCATCCACTAATCTCAAACAATGGGACCTGCGGCTGAAAGGGTGACATAAAAGCTGTTGAACCCATTAGAAGTGATAAGATTCTGTTTAAGCAAGACAATACACTTGATTAAAAGAAAACACCCTGGTTGCATGTCAAACATGATCTTTAAAAGCTCTGCAGGAATGCGTGGGGATTAAGGACATGGATAACATATTTCTGCAGTTTTGTCCCAGTGAACAAGATGGCAGTGGGGTATAAATTAGACATTACATGTATATGTTGCTCTAACGCCACACCAGCTGCCACATCTATCCATCACTGAGGGAAACCCTCCCCTTAGCAACAGCTCCACCAAGAGCAGCCAATCCGCTCGCAAAGGCTTTTTTCTCCTCAAAGGCAGAGCGGTGATTAGGAGGTTGCTGTATGAAGGGAATCCAGGAAGAGAGTGGAGGGCAGGCGGTCAAACAAACTGGTGTTCCTCTGACCAGCAGCACAGCGCAGGCCGGGGTTTGAGAGTTTGCATAAAAACTGCTGCCTGAGCCCTGCGGTGCGAGGCTGCAGCCCTCCTCTTTCTCTGCACTCACAAAGGGCCATACAAATGGCTGCAAATCAAAATGGCTGTGCTGGTCAGGGTGCCTCAACCCACTCAGATAAACTGGGTCAACCAAACTGGTGACAGCTGGGCAGACGCTAAATGTGAAAAGAATGAGGATCTTTTTTCTTACAGTAGCCTATATTAAACATCTAAAAATAAAGCAATGTACATATTTACTGACGTTAGAGAAAATCTGCTTATTTAATTTCTTGCCAAGAGTTATATGTGAAGATTGATAGGCCTACCACTCTTACCTTTGTCTTATATTTAAAGATGTCGACAGTTAGCTTAGCATAAACACTAGAAACAAGAGGAAACAGCTAGACCTGCTCTGAAAAAATTCACCAGCACCTCTTTAGCTCGATATTCAACATCTTGCTTGTTTAATTTGTTCTTTCTTTAGGTCATGCTGTTCAGTTATCTGATAGATTTACAATTCAGTGTGCAGGTCTTCCAGCGGTGCAATGCATCTGCACTTTTAGATTCCTGTAATGTCAGCAAAGCTTTGCAACCCCAGCTGAGTCAATATCACTATAAAGTAACTTTGGTGTCCCCATCAGTCACTCAGTCATCATGAAAATGTAGCAGAATAATGAAATTCTGAGGTCTTATTATAAATGGCCAAACATTTACACACATATCAGTACAATGATAAGTCTCTTGAAATGTGTTTCCTTAATTTAATACCGTATTTTTTCATTGGATGTAGGCCTACGTGATTTTTGGCATGTCCCACACACTGCTCTGAAAATAAAATAAAAATAATGATATGGTTTTATTGTCCACAACAAGTTATTTGACAAAACGAGTCATTTTGATTATGGCTATATTCTATTTGTTTCTATTTTCATAATAATATTGAGCATGTGTCCCTGACATTGCTGTCCACCCTGTCATTATGGGGTAACTGCCCCTATAAAAAACATCTGATGTCTCGTGGTTTTCAGTGACATTACTAGGCTACCATCATTTTGTCTTTCCTCAATGGAGGCTGAGACATTGGCTAGTTGCAGAGTAAGTATTTAAACTTATATTTCGTAATTGTAATCATATTATGTCTGTAGTTGGATGTTGTCAAGCTTAACATGTCCACTCTGTCATAGTGAAATGTCAAGTAATATAAAAACCTTTCAGAAATTCGAAATATATTTGTTAAACAAATATGCTAACTGAATCATGTTGCTAACTGTATCATGTTGCTAACTGAAGGTCCACCATGTGCTCATTAAATGCTAATATTAGCCAAAAATGTCCACCTGCAATGTACATTTCATAATCACTATGTAATTACAATATATTTACTCTACTTTGAATTTTTCCATGACAGGGTGGATACATTTAACTGTTTGCATGTACATTGTCACTGCTTGCAGTTAATTTATAAAAAGTGTGGGAGCTTGACCAACATCCATTTCTAACAGCATAACATATAGGCTACTTAATACAATGAATATGAAGTTCAATGGAAAATCTCAGCTTTTTATTTTTTTGGAAATGGGGAAGTCTCAAATGCACCTTATGGTGATATTGAGCATTCACACACATGTTACTGCAGGAAATTGCATGTTCTAGTTTGTACAAAAACTGAAGAGTGTAGAAATGAGGACTGGCTGAGGGGGACATGTATCAGAATAACTTATGGCTCAGAGCAGTTCATAGCACTCAACTTCGGTTTTAGTATGGAGGCACAAATAAGAAAAACATGTCAGGCTAACAGTTTCCCCCTGCTTTCAGTCTTTATGCTAAGCTAAGCTAACTGTCTGCTGGATCTTCTTTAACCGACAAATATGAGACTGGTATCAACCTTTTTATCTCACTTTATTCCTAATAGACTACTCCTTTAACAATGTGAACTGGATCAATCCTTGGTACTATTCTTCTAGTCTCAAGAAAATGTGATCAAACATTTTACAGATACATTTGTTTAAAGATAGCTTTTCACAAAACAAGGTATATCTCCTCAAATATATTATACTTTTGAGTAGTTTTTTTCTATTTCAGGCTCCAGACAAACACATCTCAAAGCAGTACTTGAACCATGACATTGATATTCTGTAATATGGCTCCAACTGCCGGCATGCACAAGTCTCCCAAGACACGTCAATGTCTTGAGAAACCCGAGAGAAAATCGTTTTGAAACAGCTCCAGAGTTTAGAGGAAGAATTGCTGTTTCATTGTGCTCAGCAGCTGTTTGATTAACTGTTTCAATGTCCATGATATAAAGTGCTAATTTACTTATACAGCTTCAGAATTGTAATGCCCACAGTAAAGAAAAAGATTGAAGATCAAATGTCTTTCAAATCTCATTTGCATCTTGCAGTCAAGACCAAATACAGATTTTCATTATGTGCAAATTTCCGCACCCTTAATTTCTCACACAATTCTTGTAGTTGTATTAACATTTCAACACAAGTATATGCCCAAAACTCCTCGTGTGTTTGGTAGAGGAGCTGCAAAACAGTTGTTTAGCTGTCTGATATTTTTGTCAGACATTGGGTGTTGCAAGGGCTCTTAGGGTCAGTGCAATGTGCCAACATATCTTGGGACATGAGACTTTGGGTGTTGAAAGGCCTCTTGATGTTCTGGCTAGTTGGCAGCTCTTTGCTCCACCTCGCCCTCCAGCATGAGGGTGCGTCGTGATCGCAGACTTGGCAGACTGCAGTCCTTCCCTGGCAGCAATCTGCTTCACCTCAGCAGCACTGTCTGTTGCTCAACAGCTGTAAAGCTCCTACCTGACAGGAGTAAATCCACAGGCAGAGCATGGATTATTACTTTACAAGGCAGGTTGAGTTAACCTTCTAAATAAGGGTTTGTATCTTTTTAGCAGTGCAGCTTAAAGCACCAATATATACCTGCAGCTCCGCCTTCTCTCTGTTTGCTGCTGACAACCTGGTCAGCTTTATTCTGCTCTGCTCTGGTAACAGCTCTGCTCCCTGAGCAAACACCGGGGCACATTCGCTGTGCTGTTTGCTTTAATATCTCGTCAGCTCGCAGCAAAGCTTTGAGTTAACTGTGAAATCAAACAGAAGAGACAAACATTTGACTCTCAGTGGGAACTGTAAGAGGATTTGGAAACAACATAGAAAATATTTGCTTAATTTAAAGAGGCCTCCAGCAGGCTGTTAAAGGGACAGTATAGAAACCTTTGTGTTTGAGGTGTATAACCTTCAGTAGATGATGGTCAACATGCAGCACTGAGGACGGGGACATATATTTGCAAACTCAATATCACCTTCATTGTTTGCTATATTTAGAAAATATTACTCATTTTAAGTTATGCTCTGTCTGCATTTAATTCTTAAAAGGAAATTACACCAACACAATCTCAATAATGTTACGTAAATGTAACATAATGTGTGAAAATACTGTAAACACATGTATCTAATCTTTGGATTTTGTAGTTGAAGGCAAACTTTGTACTACAGTATGTGCCATGACAGTAAAATTGAATCTAATCTAATCTAATAAACAGTAAACCAGTTAAAGTCTAGACTATGTTTAGAATATTTTCCACAGCTTTAACTTGCTGTCAGAGCCCTTTCTGACGGGGAACTGAAGACACTATCTGTGCTCGTTTCAAAGCGACCACACTCCATTGAAAGAAACTGTTATTTTGCTGGTTTGCCTCTGCCTCAATCAGTTAGTTAGTTAGTGTCACTGTGTGTCTTGTACGGTGTCCAAACAGTGCAAACGCATTACAACGTTGCAATATTTCCATTAGGAGGAACGTATAAAAAACTATGCAAATATAAAAACACAAATGCGCCGAAACACATGCAAATGAAGAAAAATCT